CCTTCTCATCAAGCCGTACCAAAGCAAACAAGCACACTTCCTGTGGTGTATCACGTGTAAGACTGGATGGCATGCTTTCTCGCCATGCATACGACGCCCCCCTCCCACCATGACTCACCCCGCCCCCTTTTCGCTTACCTTCGCGGTATTTCCTCCTCAGCTTGGCGTGGACGCCCTTCACGACGCCTGAGAGCTTCTCCTTCTCCTCCTTCTCGTCTTTACCGTCCGAGGAAGACGTGGAGAGGCCGCGCTCGCTGCTGGAGCTCTCCGAAACTTTCCTGCAGTCGCTCCGAATGTTTTTCCCGGTAGCCATTTTCCTCCTACTTCGGCACGTGAATAATTTGTTTCGGTTCAAGCTAAATATATGTGAGCATTCTTTGAGTATTTTAAGGCGGGAAAATGTACAAAGTCACAAAATTGTTGTTTCCCTTCAAGATCGTTTTCAATTCTGTAATTAATATGAAGAAAATGTGTGTTTTTGAGACCCGGCAAAATTTCATCGAAATGAGGAGTATGTCATCAGACAGCACAGGATGTGTGAAGATCTGCGATTGGCTGAGAGGGAAAGGGACCATTGTTTTACCATCATTGATTGGCTAGAACGATTTTGGATTAGTCCACTATGCCAGACAGGGGTGGTAGTTAATATGGCTTTCTTCATTTGGGCAGTTTCTACCCTACATCTGCTTTGAGATCAGCGATATTTGATGAATCAAACTTTATTTGCAAACCCATACAGGAAGACGAGTTCCATCAATTAAACTTTTTTTCAAGATACACAATTTCATTTCATTTTATATAGGTAACCAAGGAGATTCTTGAGGTAATATAAGGGGGAAATCAAATGATTTTAGCCCAATGCATTAATAAAGTTTCATCGAGTGGGAATACTAGAAGGAGAGTAATTTTTCGATAAGATAATGCATCGATTGCAGCATTTGTCCCCAAATAACCTTTTCCAGAGTTTGCGGCCAATGGGACAGTGCTGAAGCGACCTCAAGCGACGTAGTTGTGAATAGCACTGTAGTGCGTTTTGCATTGTGTTGTAGCATGGAGGAACTCCATGGTTGGAGTGGAAAGTTCACAACTTCAAGTCTCAAGTTGTAAGTCATTTTAACGTGTATGCAATGTTTAATGTGTAAATAATGTTAAAAGAACACAGGAAAATGTGTGTGTGTGAAACTTTGAAACTTTATTAGAATAACCATTAGGGTCCACCGCTAGTCTTCCTGGTATTCATTCACAGAGACAATACATTATACAAACATGGTTGACAACTAGACAAGTCACAAACACATCTAAATCAATAACATATTTACAATATACATAATTTAAAAAACTAGACAATCCTGTCGAACAGTGCTTGTAACTACTGGTGGAGGTATTTGTGCAAACCATCCTTAAACACTCTCAGGGATTGTGTGGATTGCATGACAATTGGAAGGTTATTCCACACACTGACAGCCCTGTACATGAAACACTTCATCAGTGCGTTAGTTCTAGGTTTGTCTAACAGAAAAGATTGTTTAGCAGCGTGTGTGTGTGTGTGTGTGTGTGTGTGTGTCTGTGTGTGTGTGTGTGTGTGTGTGTGTGTGTGTGTGTGTGTGTGTGTGTGTGTGTGTGTGTGTGTGTGTGTGTGTGTGTTTGTGTGTGACCAATCCTGACAGTCCGTCACATTTAGCAGGCAGAACAAGAGAGAGTGGCTTCATGATGTTTATGTTTACTGGAGGAAAACATATTGTTTTTGCTGAGTTTCTTCTTCCTTTTCTTCTTATCCAAACAGTGACCTCAATGACCTGAACCAATGTTGTGTCTGTTACCATGGTAACTAGAATTGGGTTTCATCATGTTGCAATTTTATAGCTCATGTCTGACCATATATGAATGTGTTTGAGAAAGAATTGACAGAGCAGACAATATGCGGAGGTAAACGTTATGCATTTGTCCTGCAAATGTTACCTTTCTAGTTATATTTTGCGTTTCTGCGTTTTGTCACTTTTGACGGAGGTTGGGCTGGGCTACGGGATGGGCCTATAAGGGCAGTGGTCCATAAGATATCCATGCTGACGTGACGACAGGAATTCCTCTGATCTGGCCCCGTTAGATGAATCCAGGAGCGCGCTGTTTGTGACGTGAGCCGGTACAGATGGATCGTCCTTCACGCATCACCGTTTGCGTACTACGTGCAGAGGGCCGCGGAAATTTCCAAGCAGATGTGGGGAAGGCTAGGGAAAACCCGAGAGACGTTTTCAGGCAGTCTGCTACGTTTTTTTTATAAGACGTAACCATCAATCCATGTGAAAGTATACAAACAAACAGACAAACAAACAAAAAAGCAAACAACGATGGAACAGTTGGAAATCGTTAATAAGTTATGATTTTTCAACCCTGATATTGAGTCTGAGATTGTAACTTTTTTCTATGGCTAGGTGACTTCTTTAAGAAGTAAATAAATTTAAACGAGACAGAATGCTACATTTTACCTTAGACCTTAGATCCTCCCGCAACTACTGTTGCATAGGTCGACTACTGGTTCTGACAGAACTTCTCCAGGTACGTACTTCTGTTTTCGGCCGCAGCAGACATGTCTTCTATTGTTACATCAGATCGGTAAAAAAATCAAATAATAAATAAAACAATAAATACACCTGCAAAATGTACTGTCAAGCGGACCAACTCCCCTGGCATGTTATTCTCTCTATTTAGCCAATATCTACTCTTTCCAGCCGCCTCCCGAAGCCTGGTAGAGGCTAGCCCTCTTTAGCAGGCTTTACTAGTCGGGGTTAATCTACGGAGGCCGCGCGACGCACAATGCACCGAGTGACCGAGAACTGATATGTCACCGGACTGAAAAGGCACATTTTAAGCCCCATAAAAAAACCGACTCAAGAGGCTAATTGAAAGACATGTATGTGACGTGGGAGACTTCGACGAGTCGAGAAGATACGGCAAATGTCAGTTTTAGAAGTTCTGCAAGGCTTTTATTACTTATTGAATATTTTATTACGTACCTGAATAAAACGTTTGGCCACACAAGAACATTCACTACCATCTGGAGCGCTAGTATATGTTTAGTCAGATATGGTGACAGAATGAAATACCTAGAATTGCTTTGAATCCTTTTTATCTTATTATCAACATGCGCATAATATAAAGGTATAAATAACATACAGTTTGTTTCAAAGATTATTTGGAGAGACAAAGTCATCAACTATTCTCCAAGCATAACCATGTTTTAAAAGCATTTAAGTTTTGTTTTATTTTCTGGGGCTAACCTACTCTCCAAGCAGAGGTTTGCATGGGTTTTGGCTTATTTTTGGCGTGTTTTTAGGCCTTCTTTTTATCTGCTTGAAAAAAAAAATTCCAGTGCTAAAAAAGAACCCCCCATAAAAAGCCCACAAACATGCCATAAACCTCTGCTTGATCTTGAAGAGTAGGGCTAATAACCGCTGCTTGGAGAGTTGGAGAGTGCTACAACAATGCATAGCGCACCCCACACTGGTTATCTAACGGTTCACCCCCGACTGCGAGGTTTTTCCATATCTTCCCGTAGATAACAGGTGTCATTCCCATTACGACGCGACTTTACGACGGGGTCTCCCCCCGGGACGCACCGCCTAGACTCTCCCTTTGAAGCGGGGCGAGACCCCCGTTAAACCGTAGCGAATAAAAAGTGGCCCTGGGAATAAAAAACGGAGTTCCGCGGGGTGGCATCGCGACGGTCTATCTGATTGCACTTCGCCGGCGAATCATCCATTTCTGCCGCTTCGGTACAGTAGATAAGCCCTGCTACGACAAGAATTGAATTGGTCCAATCTATTTCATTGCTTATTAGCAATTCATAGCCCTGGGCATATTGCTAATGTATAAAATAAGAATAAGCTTTGATTTTTAATGGTTTGAAAGCAAACATGATTTAAAGAAATAGACGGCTGTAAAATTATTGTAGAGTAAAACATGTGCCTTATACGTATAGCGTTAATCACTTTTGCTAATTCATTTTGACATGTATGTATTACATTAAATTCTTAATTAGTCAATTTCTCAATTTTGTTATATTGTTGGGTTGGCTCACTTCTTGATGATTGAATGACGTAGAGTCTAAAGAAATCACGGTCAAAAAATGAAAAGATGTAGAAATGTTTTTAAAAGTTGTAAAAAAAAAGGATTTTGTATTATGTTTTATTCGCCGCTAGATATATATATGGGCTTGTGTCCTATGGGGGCCTATGTATCATGTATTTATTCTCAGACTAGGTAATTAAGGTATAACAGGTATTATGGCGTCTGGCAGTGATGGATTCCGTTTGTTACCAGCCTCCAAAAAATTTCCAGACAAAATACTAAAAGGCAGGCGTGATGTTATTATAATATTAGCAAGCCGCCAGTCTTCGCGGCTTTTCTTTTTTTCTTCGCGAGAGAATCAGGGATTCCTTTGTGAGTAGCAGGCAGTTCGCGCCCGGATTAATAATTAAAACAGCGGATGCTAGACATGTGTGCCATATATGGCGAAGGCAAAGCAAATCCAATCCGTCCGCTGGGTTTTTGTCTCGGGCTATCCTGGCGTGTCTGGGGTGTTTACCAAGCGACCGGCGATTGGTGGGATATATTTATCTAGCAAACAATTTGTCAGTCTAAAGGCGGGCTTTATTCTCATGTGGTTCACGTTTGTCAGGGCCCCACGCTCATGACCCGGCACGTCCTCGCAAAATCTTTCCCGCCAAAACCTCCTCCACTCCGGCCGACACATCACTTGGCCCGAAAATCTGTCATCCATCTCCCCAGGCTCGCCCCAAAACCGTTGAATCAGACAATATTTATTTTTCTTGCATTTGCTGTGTATTTTGTTTACACAGCAGGTGCGTATGACGTCAGCGGCGTGACCTTTGCCTCTAAAAATAACAACGTATTCATCCGAGGAGAAGTAGTTCGCCCGCTTTTCTGGGCAAAATCTGCCCAAAATAAAGCTTACGACGGCTCCGTTGGAAATCGCAGCTTCTTTCGTACACTATCCAGAGGGTTTTGACGGATTTGTGATGGAATTTCTGGATTTGAGGGGCTACAGACGCTCGGCGGATGGATATATTTGTATTTATCGTGCGTTGTTGCATGCTTTGCCGTACACAATTGCATGTGTACTTCAAAGCTACAATTTATTGGCGGCTGGGGCCTCCAAGTCGTCCCCCAAACGACGCGACGAGGTAAGAAATTACTTCAGATTCCTCTTCTACTCCTAGACTATCCTTCGATGTACCTACTATGCCACCTCTGTGCACGGTCGAGCCGTTAGAAGAAATGTATTTTGTTGTTATTTGTGGCAAAATGGATTTCTTGTGGGCATAAATAATTTGCATAGGAAATGAGGACGTGTACCGGGTATACAAACCCCGCCATTTGGAAGCCCGGCGGCCGCTAGTTGGGTCGGTGTCTGCGGCTAGCTGCAAACTTGGGGCATTTGGGCAGCCAGAGGTTTAAATTCTATCGGCCAGTCTGGGTCGTTTTCTCAGCCCGAGACAAATATGCCGTTGTTGTTATTTTTTCCTTGGATGGCATGTCGGTTTTCATAAACACTGGGCTGTACCACGTGGCGGGGGTGGGCAGGGTTGAGGGATCCCATATGGAGGGCATTGAAAATCACGCCTTCACGAAATTATTTCATCTAGATCACGCGAATCAGCAGATTTCTCGGCTGCTGTGTGCTCAAAATGAGGGGTTTGGTGTTTGTGGGGTAGTGAAAGTGGTCGACAGGGCCGCATTACCATGTGAAAGTGCAGACATCTGTGTGGCAGTTGACCCAGGGGCGGACCTCTCTGTAGGCCCTGTCTGCCAGGAAAGGTGGATCATATTATCCCACCACGCACCCCAGCACCAAATCACATGCAGTTGGTTTATTTTATTTAGCAAAAGCAGGCTAGCAACCCCACATCCCCGTCCACTCCCCCATACACAGACCTTGTGTATACAGTTTGGAGTGTTGGTAACGGACTGCTCAAATTCCCCGTCCCTCTAGTTATCATTTAGTTCCAATTATAGTCGAAAGATATCAGGGCCTGCCTCAATCATACGTCCCCAAAACAAGGGTTTGGATGCATTAATGTTCTTGGTTTGGGAAAAGGGAACGTACTGTTTAGTATGCAACTCAGGTTGGGGTGCGGGGCGAAATTCTATACAGCTGTCGAGGTCTTTGTTAGGTCCCATTTGTGCGGCTTGTTTACCTATTGTTATGTTGTTGTTTACTGAGGCATAATGGATCCCGGGTTGGTATGCAAAGGCCAGATGTCACTCGGAATGAAAGGAACCATTCTCCTCCATGGCTGGGTGTTCTTTGTTTTCTTGTTTTGGCGTCCCAGGGCCAGATGTGTTTTTGTGCTTTGGCTGGTGGGACCCAACCTAGAGCCATACACACCACACGCCAACTGAATGAAATCTCTACAATTTGTGAAAAGTCTGTGAATAATTTAGGAGTCTGTCCCGAACGCTGCATTCATCGAATGTGCTTTAAATATTCCCCGTCATCTTTTCGCATGCATGAATATCAGCGAATGTTTCCCAACTCTATGATACATTTATGCTATGGAATATCACCTAGGATACCCACATTTTACAAACGTAATAATAAACGTCATGAAATATTAGGCTGCATTGTCCCAGACAACAGGCCGTAAAAGTGACAAGGACGACTGGAAAATTGATTACGTCGTCTGGTGATAGATGGAGATTCGACCAACCGTATCATTTCCTACTCACTTTCACTCTTTATACATTTTGTACCTTACTCAAGGGGACACTCGAAGACTCACTTTCACTTTTTTACTGAGATGTCTGCAATACTAAAGCAAACATCTGGGTTTACCTTGTTCGGATTTGACAGTGGACAATTTTTATTTTTCAGAGAGCAGATGACAAGATTAAAAAAATAAAATTGAAGCTCTTTGTATAGTTAGTAGCTGTCAAATAGCAATTAACCTTGATCCTGCTAAGATACCTTTTTGGCACCAAATTTATATAGGTTATGAGGAACAAATGGGTTAGGAAGCAGGAAAAAGTTTTTCAGTCAAACTGTCAGAGAAGTCCTCTTTTGGAGATGTGAGATTGGCATTGACATATTCTAATGGGTGAAGTTCTGTAAATTCTACTTTTGGAGTGGTTTTACTTTGAGGAAGAAGGGAGAATGTTTTTTAATGGTGTTTTGAATTTGTTGGTTGAACGATTTTATGGTATAGTAGTCATACAAGGGAGACATATCACATCATCATCACCATATGACCATCAGAGGCAATGTGGGGGGGGGAGTCGAGGAAGATATAATACTTTGAAAAACTGTGAAAATTGAACTACTAGTACCTTGAACATTTAAAGATTTATAGTACTGTGTCTGTGTCAGTCTGTAACTACTATAAATTTTAAATCAATTAGAAACGCTGTCCAAATTTAAAGTACACCTTATAACGTCCAATTCTGTATATTTTTTTTCAGTCTTGACACCAAGAGACTAAGACAAAGAACAACAAGAACAAAAGAGAGGGGCTAAGAAGAAAAGAAGGACAAGAAGAAGAAGATAAAGAAGAGAGGAGGTCCCACCACAAGTTGCCAACTGGTCCCATGTATTTATGACTTCAAGTTGAACATGTCCCAGGTAGGTTCTTCCCCTTTTCTAGTTACCCTGAGGGCCATGAGAGGTCAATGAACCATTTCTGGCTAACATGTCTTTACCTTACCTGACCTAGTCTTGTCTTCTATTCTAGTCTTGTTACACCCATTTTCCACAAGAGGCCTGCAACTGCCAAGCAACCTATGAGTAACCAAATATTTGACAGTTTGCTCAACAAATTTTATGATAGACAATGAATGGGTTTGATACCTTCTTTTCCAGTCTTTGTTGTCTTTTAAATCATACTTGTGCATCATGTTCCAATTATGAAATCAAAGGTCAGGCAACTCCAATTTTGGTATCTCAAGGTTGCTCAGCAATCCGTCACTGTCTAGTGCTGCAAGAAAAGTTTTCTGATTCTTCTCAGTTTATAAGACTTATCAAAGCTCTGAATTACTTTTGTGATCAAACTGCCCATATATTAAGGGTACATATTGTATATTCCGTATACTGTCTGTCCTTATACTATTTAAAAGTTATAGTTATACTGTGCTTACAAGCAGTACCCATTTGAATGAAGAGATGTGCATTAAACGTCTGGGATTCCTGCCATACTTTTCATGATTGTTGAACAGGTCTCAGAATGTCTTTGCACTCCACTTTTAAAGCATGAAACTTGGTGGAATGATCAGGCACATGAATATCTAACTATTACATATTGATCTTTATTAAAGGTCTAAAAATATATCCATTATGGGGGAGGGGGCTGTCCCAAGGCCTCTTGACTTGAGGCTCTTCAGTCCAAGTGTCCCACTGACCCACATTTTTATACAGAAGGAGGGGCCATGGGCTGGAGCAAATTTACTGTGCTTCTTGTGTGTTGATTTGTGTACTGGACTGTGTGTCCAGTCACAGACATGCTAGGACAGGGTAATGCCCTCTCAGACCTGGGTCAAGGGGGTCTGCATGGGGGTTGGGGGGTTGGTCCTTTTCCAGTAGGCAAGCTATTTCACATATTTTGTAGTGAAGGCATGATTTGTAGGGAGGGGGCTAGGTTTTGTGCAAATATCTTCATGAATTTGGCATAAATTTGTGTATGTGACCTTCCTGACTTTAATCAGTTTGAAGTGTTGTCTGGACGGAGATTGTATTTATTTTTTCAGGTTGGGAAGGAACTTGTCTTATTTTGTGACATTTTGTGTAGTATTAACATTTTTGGAAGGCATGCTTTCCAACATTTTGGCTACAAAACCACCCACCAAGTCACATAGCTGAATAGAGAAACAAAATCCTTCCTGTGGTGTACCTGTACCAGGCTTACATGCTTGTCTAATGTACCATAGCAGGGCTCAAGATGCCACCTGTACATGCAGGTAAGTGCAGGTACATGTTAATCTGTAGCTGTTCAGGTGTTCTTACCTTACCTTTAAGTTTTTCAAAGAAAATTTCACTGTTTAATAATCTTCCTTGATCTGCTAGTTTGTGGTACTACCTGGGTTTGAAAGTCAGGTAATTTTAACAGGTGGGAAATTGTGAAACAAATTTTGCACCATGCATTTTCTGACATACATGTATTTTATGGACTCCTTTTCACATGTACAGATCTTCACACACAGAAAATCTGTTCCCTCAAATTCCCTCATACCTGTATATGAAAAGTAAGAAGGCTTGCAGACAATAGTCTAGACTTCACAAGAGCACAGACACAGTTAATTTGTTGAGAGGAATTGAGAGTTGAGTGGTTGTGACAGCTTTGGGTTTTTACCTCCACTAAATCCTCATGTGATAAACGACTTCATGTTGAAGTCACTGTGCCACTGGTTCGAATGTAATTCCTCTCACTGTAGTAGCCTACAAATGAGCCCAGATACCCTATTGAAGAATCTTACGACGTGGGAACATTAATGGTTGTGCAGTTTTGATGTCTTAGGAATTTCAAGCAAGCTGTGAGCAAACGTACCGCCGACAAGGATCTAAAAGGAAGACAGCCGTTCCGGTAACAGGCTAGCTGGAGTTAGAATGTCTCAATGTATATGCACAAACCCTAAAATTCCCTTAGTTTGATCATACAGTGATCATATGACTGATTTCGAGCCCTGCTTGAAGCAGGTGGGAAGTAGAAGTCATTAACTACTTTGAGTGCACTGGAGACTGAAGCATGCTGGGTAGTGACGCAAAACTCGCGGACAGAGCATCAATTAGTCGGTCTGGAGTGTTCATTACGAGACAACCCTGGCTGAATTACTCATGCTAGACGAGTCATTTATAGAGAACTCATGCGCATTTTCAGAATCTCAAAGATATGGAAATACAGTTTGATGATCCAATGTATTGCCATGACTTTTCGTATTGTAGATACACTGTAGATGTAGCGTCTTTGCTAGATTTATTTGAGAAGATTGAACCTTTGCAACCTCGAAGCTTTATATTTAATATGTCAAATTTTGACCTGAAGTTTGCTACAAAATTTGAAGATTATAACAACTTGTGATCATTTACAACTTTCGCAGGCTAGGATATTCAGATATTTTGATAAAAATGTAAATCAAGCCCTGATGTGTAATAGTACATTGACTTTTATTATATGTACATGTATATGGATACGGGAATTGTACTTCTCTGTTCTCAGATTTTAAAGTAGGAAATTTCATCAACTGAGCGGAAAATTTGAATCTGACAGTGACTCCCTGAAACTGTATGTACCAGCATGTTCGTCTTTGAAATCAAGGTAATTTTTTTTTCTAATCTGTGAACCAATGAATTGATTTTCATAGCATTTGAATTTGAACTTGACTGGTGACAGCTAATGCACGTTGCGTGAGGGATGCCGTGAAAAGTTACATGTAATAAATCACACGGACATCTGGCGGATATCTGGTCCTCCTAGGGGGCCTTGACTCTCATTCTATATTGATGACCATTCCTGCAGGAGTACTAAATTTCATGGTGGGGGTTCAGAAAAGTTTATCAATGTGGCCACATTTCGCTGAAATTCAAACATTCTGCGTCAAATTTAGACCGTTTAGCTTTCAGAGTCATCACTAAGCAGAATTTTTGCAGACTTTCCAACTGTGATAGCCAATTTTTGTATGATGTATGATGATAAATAGTTTTAAGCATAAATTTGATAAAGTGTCTCCAAAGTAGACTCTAGAGAAATCTGAAATTTTACCAGGCTGATTGCTTCAGATGTATTGTTTTTTGGGTAGGTTGGTCTGTAGGTTTGTGTGTATGTTTGTCTGGACAGAGCAGGTTGACAGTGTGTAGGTGGGGGAAGACTGACAAGCAGAAAGACAGGAGGTCAAAAGGTCAAACACAGGAAATGGGGTGACCTTGAAGGTCCCAGAATCTGGGTGGTAGCCAGCAGGAATTAGAGGTCAATATAATTATATTTATACTATTATAAGTGAATTCAGGAAGCCAGGAATTGGTTGAGTGACCCTTCAACCCAACATAAAACTACCCTATTAAAGTCCGCTATATGAGTCTTATTGGTTGTCCAATAAATTCACAAAAACCCTTCATGAAAGTCTGACATTTCTTGTTTAATAATCTTTCGCTTTCCAAGAGTGATTAATGATTCGCTATTTTCATTAGGAAGAAAGCAGGTCTCAAACAATAATTTGGAGGCCAAGTTTGAGGTTTAGGTTTCTTCCATTTACTTTAGTATTTTGCAAGGAATCATGGGATACCTTCTCATGTGGTCAACTTTTTAAACATGGAGACTGGAATAGGAAACTACTGTAAATTCTTAAAATTTTCGTGACAATGTAAGATTAAGAGTTTCTTATAGTAACGTTGATGAAGGTTAGGCATCCAGGTAGTAAAATACGCCAAAAAAAAAAAAGCAGCTACTCAAGCAACTGGATATGATTTTGGAAACGGTCAAATTAGAATCATATCCAGTTGCTTAAGTAACTTCTTGGTGTTTCTTATAGTAACTTTACACTGTATCTTTTTTTTCAGTGAAACAGAACTATCTACTAGCAATGGGAGATAGCACAATAAAGACATTGCAGATGTATGAAGATTTACGGTACTAATGATGTGATTAGTGATGATTGACGGACAGATGGGACTTCTCTCTGCTCATTAGCCAGGAGTATTTGACACGACTCACATGTACTCCCCATCCAAAGTCTGTTACCATAGTAACTGAGTTGTCTGCAAGGGCAAGGTCATATGCATTTATGTAACATGGATGTCTATATTATAGACAAAAAATGAGAATTTTCATTTATGATGAGGAGTTTTTTAAATTATTATATATTTTATGTGATTCAGTGATGAGTGGGCTTAAGAAAGATGAAAGAGGTACAGAGATCTTTTTTTTTTTGAAGGGAAGAAAAGAAGATGAAGAAGAAAAGTTGACGACATTATGGTCCTAAAAGTATTCTGATAGCCTTACTAATAGCCTCTGGTAACCTCAAAATAGCTAGCCTCAATAGTAATGTACTCTTTCTACATGTATAGTCAACTGCATGTGAAAAGAGTTATATATAGAAGAGACACTTGCCATGTTGGTCAGTGTTTGCTTTGTTTCTATTGATAGTGGACACCAAAATATTACCACAGAAATGTCAGTTTTAGGAAATAAAATTGAAATTGTGATGACAATCCTTGTTCAGACTCTCAGCTAAATTTTGGACGATTTCGGAGTGAACATTTCGTTCGTGTCACTTACAGGTATTTGGAAAACGGTGGTTAAGTTTTTGCAAATGTCTGGATGTGCTGTCCTTAGTTTTTCTTTCCTTGGGAAGCTGTCAGGTTTCCAAGAGATATAAGAGGCAAGGTAAACAGTCCCTGTCATCAAAATCTATCAGCCAGTATGTTTGTTCATATATGGGCTTCCTGTGCCGAGTTTACACTGGGTCCCCGGCTGTATAGCAGCGTTGTTTAGCCTGTTGCCGACGGTATATTTGGTTTTATTTACACGGACGGGGATGGGTTAGCATTCTGAAAATTCCTTCCCCCACCAAACATTTCACTTTCCCCGCGTACAAACAAATGAGCGTCCGTCGGGGAAACAAGATGCCGGCCGCCGG